TATTATAAGCAGCATCAACATCACCCCTTTGAGAATAAGTTGAACCATCAATTATAATTTTTTGGAGAACTAAACAAGATGCACTATACAATTTCATCATACTACAAATGGAATGAAAATGTGAACTCCAACGAGTATCACCAACTCGTTTTAAAGTGCCAATTTGATTTTTTCCTTTACCGATTTCAAGTTCACCAAGTTCTAACAATTTGGCTATTTCATCTAATTCTTGCACTTTGTAACTCATCATGAAGTTTACTAGATGAACAAACAACATTTATAATAAAAGCCAAATTTGAAAAAAATTTGATAACTGGAATAACTTCTCTTGAAGCAACCAAAACAAGTTGTAATCTATGAGCAAAACAATGTACATAATAAGCATAAGGATTATCATGAAGAAATAATGCTTGTAATCCATTCCATTCTCCTCTCATATTACTAGCACCATCATATCCTTGCCCACGAATATTGGAAACATCAAGATTATGTCTAGAGAGAACAACACATAATTCTCTTTTAAGAGTAGCAGTTGTAGTATCCTTAACATGCACAATATCAAAAAAATGTTCTTTTATATTACCCATTTTATCTACAAATCTCAAAACAATAGTCATTTGTTCTCTTCTAGATTTATCACGAGCTTCATCAACAATTATACAAAATTTTGAGTCACCAATTTCTTCACGAATATAATTTCTTACTTTTCTAGAAAAAATTTGCAAAATTTCCTTTTGAATATGATGAGAAGTATATTTTGAATTATAAGGACCATTTTTCAACACAACTTGTGCTACTTTATCATTGTATGATACTAAAAGTTTAATCATCTCAAGAAAGTTACCTCTATTACTTGAATCTGGAGTTTCATCATGGCCTCTAAATGCACAAGCTTGAAATGCTAGTCAACGAATTGTATCAATAGAAGTTTTAAGCCGTAAAAGATTTTTGCAAACTTCTTCTGAAATTTGCACATTTATAATGTTGTCAATGTGCTTAGATTGATTCAATAAGTCTGTACATGTTTTCATTGCATTGTTATGTGGTGAACAAGGACTATCTCCAATATGACTAAGAAACGCACAATTTTTTCCTGAATTAACCTTTTTCCATGATCTAAATCCTTGTCTAATAAACACATCTGCCCCAGGATGACCATTCGCCAGTGTACTAAATAGATAACATGGTAAACAATAAGCTCCATCACTAGTTGAAGAATACTCTAGCCAATAAAGAAACATTTTAAACCAACCATATTGAAATCTCCTAAGATGTTTCTCTTTAGTAAAATGATAGTTTTTAAGTTGTATTTGATATGAACCCTAATTTAAATAAGCTCTTCTAATTTCATTTCTTTGATTCATAAGATATTCATGTATTTGAAGACGTTTTCCTAATTGAATAATTGGATCATCAATATCATGCTTTGAAACCGGAGAAGATGTTGAATTTGTTTGGTTTTCATCTCTACAAGTATCTCTTTTATCACTTTTAAAAAATGAATCTATTCTTTTATGCTTCATATCTAGAAAAAAATGAATCTATTATGATTTTTCCAATTATTGAATCATAAAAATTTATAAAAAACAAAAATATTTTTCTCAAACAACAAATGTTCCTCAACAAAAATCAAAATAACAAACAATAATAGAATAAGCAATAAAAAGATGAAGAAAAAATACCTTTGTCAATCAATATAATTTCAAGTATGGAATCTGAGGAGGGAGGAAGAGAGATGAATAATGAATTTGAAAGTACAAACTATAGAAACAATTTAATATTAATCAATCAAGTATTACCATTAGTGAGAGAATATAAAAAGATGAGAGGAGATGAAAAACTACTTTTAACCTTTCTTATTTAATATATTCTTTAGAAATTAGAAAATCAATTAAATACTAATAAAATATTACATGTTATTGAGAGAATATGAAAAAGTGAGAGAAGATAAAAAGGTCAGATAATAACATTATTTTTAATCTTTCTTATTTAATTTATTCCTTCAGCTTTTTTCTTTATGATATATTTAATATTGGGGACCAAAATCATAAATATACAAGTAAGTTACAAAACTTTGGGGGGCATGACCCCCTTAACTACTATGAAGATCCGCCACTGATCTGGAAGTATCTGAAGCAATACAGAATTAGAAAAAATGGGAGTAAAAAAATAGTTACATCTATAAATGGAGAGGAAGCTAAAAGAAAACAGAGAACAAAAGAGAAGTTCTTAAAGTAAATGTCGGACATCCCCAATACAGTTACAATTCACTCTATATAAAATGAAGGGAACAAAATTATATATATTTTAAAAATGGAAAGTAAAAATAAAATAAAATTTAAAATAATATTTGTAAAAAAGTATAATTTTTTTATATGAAATTAGAAAAATGGTTTGTTTTTGTATTGAGAATGAAATATTGTTTGTTGGTTTTGTATCCATTAGCATTCCCCTTTTGGTCGTTTATAAAGTCATGTTTTCTTTCTTTTTTCTTTATTCATACACTTGAGAGTTAAATATAATGACCTTCTTTTAAATATTTAAATTTAAATATGTTCTCCATATGAGTTTTGATTAGATTTCTGACAATTTTTTTCTTTATTTTTTTATTATTCTAAAATTAAAAATTACTACTTTAATCCTTATTATTATGACATAATTAATTATATGTTGATAAAATGTTAATTAATCATTTAAGTAATATAAATGAGACACCCATTAAACTATGACCATATAAGAAGTTACACTCATACAAGTATATGAAACTCGAACTAAATTATGGTTACTTCAAGGAACTAAATTATGGTTACTTCAAGGAGTTAGAATAGTATATGAAATTCGAACTAAATTATGGTTACTTCAAGGAATTACAATAATATTGCTCATATGATATCGTTAGAGTAATATAGTCATAATTCAAGGAATTAGAATAGTATTGCTCATATGATATCGTTAGAGTAATATAGTCATAAAATATTATAAGTACTTTATATTTCGTTAGCATGGTTAGTTTTTACATGTTTAATGAAATCTATTTGTTGTGGCTTTTTTTTTTCAGTAAAAAATGTTAATGAATTCTAATTTGGTTGTATTAAAAGTAAATATTTTTTATTATCACAATAAATATCATAGTCTAAATATTTAATGATTTCAAATTATGATATTTATGGTAGGTGAACATTTATCTTATTATTTAAGATTACTCAAGTTTCTACCAAAATTTTTATGACAAATACTATGACAAACCCTAGACCAATTCAAACTTAAGTGCTTTTAAGAATTTCTATTATTAATAAATAAAAAATATTTTTAAATTTTTATAAGAACATTGTTTGAGATTAAAATTGGTTTATTTTAGCTATTGAGATAGTTGGTTTATTATTTTTTCTCTTGAATCTATGTAAAATCTTATCAATTATTACTATCTTATACATTGATAAAGATCTCTCTTAGTATCTTCGTACTAAGGTCCTCTTCTAAATATAAATACACATTTTCCAAACATTAATTCATCATCAAAGTGAAAAAGTAAAAAACAAATAATTATTCTATTTAACCCTTTAAACAAAAGAGATATTCAAGAACGTTTTATTATGTTTTTTTTTATGAGAAATGTACTCATATTCTTTATTTAACATAAAGAGAATCATTAATTTCAATATCTTATTTAGACTTTATAATTATTGTAATTTCATTATTCAATTCTTTATTTAATTTCAATTTTATGAATCTTAATTATACAATTTAGAATTTTATTTTTCAATGTTTAAATGACATATTTGTTGTTTTGAATGACTTCAATGTTTATTATTATTTTTCTTTCACTACAAAAATGAGTTGGGAATGAATGAATTCTAAAAAGAAAACAAAATTTCAATGCATGCATGATACAATCAAGATTATTATTTAATGTGATCTATAATTTAGCAAGAAATAAGATGAATGAATAAAATCAGTTCATTGTTCAATTATGACACTTGTTTAATTGATTTTTTTTCCTACACTTAAATCTACTTTTCTTTTCCTTGTTACTACCTTTTATTAGAAAAGGAATTTTTTGAATAAATGAAAAAAATATATACAATATTTATTATATAATATGATGTAGTAATTTTTTAGTATATATATATATAAAAGGATGTTTAATTACATGTATTTTATTAATATTTAACTATTTGTAGTAATATTTTATTAATGTTTATATCAAATAATATGTTAACTATTTGTATAAACTTGTTATTATCAAAATTTCTTCTAAATAGTACGTGATTTAAAATCTAGAATTGAGATATATTTGGTCGACTTCGTCGTAATTTTTTTTTAAAATGAAATTAATTTTTTTAATAAATTAAAGTTAACTTATATACAAATTTAAAATACAATGTTAAAAAGTTACATTAGAAACTTTTATATATTGATTTTACATAAATTGGTTTCAATTTATAAAAAAATAAATTTTATTTTCTATATATTTGTTCTAAACATATTTGTTCCAAACAAAAAAAAGTCATTTTTATTTACTTTTATATTTATTATAAACAAAACTTATAAAAGCCTCCCCCAATCAACTCCATTTACACCTTAAAAATCAATAAAAGTTTAATCCTAAGAAGAATTTTTAGATTACAAGAACAACATAAACAACATACAACATTTTTACAATTACCGCACCAAAGGAGTAATTAGAAAAAAAAAAAAAAAAAAAAAAAAAAAAACTTCGCCGTTCTTCCATCCATCAACTGCCACCTCCTCCTTATCTCACCATTTTGCGTTGCCGGAAGTCGCAGGCAAACGCAGAACACAGCAAGATGTTCTTATGTGAGCGGAGAAATTAGGGTTTGAATGAGAAAAGAGGGGTTTCGATCCTAACCTCTGTTTCTTTCTTTGGTAGAGTGACTCGTAAAAACACGACATACGCATGATTTTACGAGTTTCTTCCACTATTTTACCTATCCTACCAAAAGAAGATACCGCTCGTGATCTAACACGCAAATAGGTAGCAAAATCACGGTTCGAATCGCGACTTTTTCTACCTTGGCCGTAGACTTTTCACTCACTTTCTTGCGGTTTCCAGTGGTAGAAATTTGTTATCTAGAACTGGAATGGTGCTTAATCTACTTCTTTTGTTGTTTTAATACTTACTTTCTCTCTCTCTCTCTCTCTCTCTCTCTCTCTCTCTCTATATATATATATATATATATATATATTTATTTATATATATTTTGTATGTATGTATATTATTCAGAATGCACATTTGAAATACCATCTATCACTTGGTAACATTTGGATTTGGCGCTCTTCTGTCAGATGGAAACATTTGCTGCATCGATTTCAGAGTTGAGGAATGTTGCAAAAGGAAATTCGAATGGCGGTACGGTTGAAATGGAGGGTTTCAAGCAACGTGTTGACGAGATAATTTCAAAGGTTGATAAGGCAAGTACAATTGGTGAAAATTATTACGCAACTTTGTATCATGTGCTTCTTCCTTATTTGTTAGTTTTTGGTAGACTCAATTGGTGCGAGGAAATAATCAACAAGAACCAATAGGAACTCCTTTATTATCCTTTTTCCATCTGTCTTTTGGGTACAAGCTAGAATTGCTTTTGCGAGCTTCTTTTCTGGAAATATAGAACTTTTTCCAATGGAGAAGCTCGCAAAAGCTCTCTAAAGCACTTCTTGCTTTGTATCCAAACAGACTTTGACTGCATTCTGCTAGGTCCCAGCTGTTAGTTCACAGCTGTGTCAGCTACTACCTTCTTTTGCTCCTTATTCCTCTTCCTATTCCATAAATGGTCTCCTATCACTTTTCAACATTGAGTTATTTTTGAGGTTATATTTAACACCACTTTTTGAGCTTTTACATGATTTACTCCTATGTTGGAACCCATTTATGTGGCAAGTGCCTGTATGAGACAATTGACAAGTGGTCAATTTTACATGACTATGATGGCTTATATATAGGTATAAATGAATGAGATAAGATTTTAGTTTAATTTTTAATGTTCCACTCCTTAAGCGGTTTGTGGGAGTACTATTGTTCATGTGGCTTGAATTTTAAAGGACTTTGATTCATGCACCATGCACTGATGCACATCCATCACACAATAGTTACGCCTTTGAGAAAGAGGCAATTTATGGGTTTTCGGCGTAAGACGATAGTGCATGCTGCTGCCTTTGTAAAAGTATGACAAGTACATGCTTTCTTGAAGTATTTAAGTTGATGCCATATTCCACAAACCGCTTCCATCTTATCAGTGCAAGGGGAATGATCTGTAGAGCTTGTAAATTTTGGGTTGTCTACAGCTATATGTTGTCTCAATTAATGGTTAGAATCTTATGCAACTGGTGCATGGCTCATGAGCTTTTGATCTCTGATACAAGGAGAAGCTTTGATTTGGAGCTAGCTTGGACATTGAAAATGCAGTTTCATATAGAGTGTGGTTTATGATAGGAGCATTGCTCTAGTTCTGATAAGTTGATAGGAACTTGGGTATTATGGGATGCTGGTGGAGTATTAAAATGCTTGATTCTCTCCCCTTTATAGATAGCTTTTGAGGGTGTGTTCTTCAAGTGGTTGCGTACTTGTCAATTGGTATCAAAAATGGTTGTTGACATCTCAAAAAGGGCTACCTATAGAGAGTTCTGACCAATGGGGAGTTTCATGGTGTGTTGTGGAGTGAACGCTGCCAAGATGTTGGCTTTTAGGGGTGGTGCTGTGATAGGAACTTGGATATTATGGCGTGCCTAAGTCCCACATACTATTAATATGGGATGCTCTGTGGAGTATGTAAGTGCTTGGTTCTCCCCATTAATAGCTAGGTTTTGAGGGTGGGTTTCCCAAGTGCCTTGGGTACTTGTCGTAAGTGATTAAGCTTCTCATATAAATTACTTAAAGTATATAGGCTAAAAAGTGAAGTACATATATACCGCCAATTAAACTATAGTCAGAGGTATTTTGGGTCTATTTGTGTTATGGTTAAGCCATTTTTATATTCTTGTTATTCGATGGTGGATTATTTGCTGGATTTGCCTTAGAACACAGGCTAAAATGATGAATTGTGTTTAATTTGTTGTGTCATCATTTTCGTGCATATTTTCAATTTTTCATCACTTCATGACCATTTTGATTGCAAAAATATCAACAAACATAAGTCAAATCTATACAATATTTAGGTTAACGATTGGATTTAAAGAATCAAGCATGTTTTGTCTGGATACAAGATATGAAAGTCTTTTTCTTTCTTTCTTTTTTCAAATAAAGCACAAGCAAAAACATAAACAATGCATGTTTGATAGATTTATTCCTTCATGGGTTGCTTCAAAGAGGATGCTCAAGCATACTTTCAAATACAATGTTGTTTCTATCTTAATAATACAACTGTGTTTGTACGCATATATCGATAGAAAATGTAATTGACGTCCAGTAGTGTGGGAAATTCAGTCTTCATTGCGAGCTGAAACAGAGGACTAGCAAATTGGTATTGTTTGAAAGAAAACATAATGCTTATCACTACCCTCATGAATGTTTACATCAGGGGTTTCTTGGTAAGTTAAGAGAGTTAAAAGAAGATTTATAATTTAGTGGGATGCATCATTCTACTCTATGATCTCATATATATATATATAGGATTACATCATTTAAAAAACAACCATCAACCACCAACTACTAACCACTAATCACTAACCATTACCAAATAATAATTCTAACACTTCCTTCAAGCTGGAACATACAAATTGTATGTGCCAAACTTGGAACAAATAAATTCAATTTGAGGTCCTCTCAAAGACTTTGTCAACACATCTGCAAATTGATCATTGGACCTAACAAATTCAGTGCAAATTTCTTTAGACAACAATTTTTCACGAATAAAATGACAATCAAGTTCTATATGTTTGGTCCTTTCATGAAACACCAGATTAGAGGCAATGTGGAGAGCTGCTTGATTGTCACAATACATCTTTATCTGTTGGATCTCACAAAATTTCAGTTCTTGAAGGAATTGTTTCATCCACACTAGTTGACAAGTGAGAGATGCCATTGCTCTATATTCAGCTTCAGCACTAGACTGGGCCACTACATTTTATTTCTTGCTTTTCCAAGAAATAATGTTGCCTCCAATAAGAACACAATATCCTGTAGTGGAGCGTCTGTCCATAAGGGATCCAGTCCAATCAGCATCACAATACCCAGATATTTGGGTACCCCTTTATCTTCATACAACATACCTTGTCCTCGAGCCTCTTTAAGATATTTTAGGATGTGAACAACATTCCAATGATCAGTATGCGGATTTTGCATAAACTGACTGACAATTCCAACGGCAAAAGATAGGTCAAGTCTGGTAATGGTGAGATAAATGAGTTTCCCAACAAGTCTTTTATATCTCTCAGGATCAGAGAGCGGTTCACCCTGATCCACCATTAATTTCTGATTTGGATCCATAGGATTGTCTACTGGTTTACAATCAATCATACCTATTTCTTTCAAGATATCTAAAGCCTATTTTCTTTGGGAGACTACAATGCCTTCTTTTGATTGAGCCACTTCAATCCCTAGAAAGTATTTGAGACAACTAAGATCCTTAGTTTGGAAGTGATTGCATAAATGTTTATTTAGCAGAGAAATTTTATCAACATCATCCCCTGTAATGACTATATCATCCACATAAACAATTAAATAAACACATTTTCCTGAAGCAGTATAATAAAAAACAGAATGATCTGCTTCACTTCGTTTTAGTCTAAAACTTTGAACAATGTGATTAAACTTTCCAAACCAAGCATGTGGAGATTGTTTTAGACCATAGAGAGAACGGTGTAACTTTTACAAACCAAACTAGACTCCCCCTGAGCAACAAAATCAGGAGGTTGCTCCATGTAAATTTTCTCCTCAAGATCACCATGCAAGTAAGCATTCTTGATATCTAACTGATGAAGAGGCTAATGAAGGATAGCTGCCATAGCAAAGAAAAGTCGAACAGTAGTCATTTTAGCCACAAGAGAAAAAGTATCACTGTAGTCAAGGCCATAGATCTGAGTGTAACCTTTTGCTACTAATCTAGCTTTGAGTCGATCAACTTCACCTGTTGGTCCAACTTCAATGGCATAGACCTAACGACAACCAATAATCTTTTTCCCAGGTGGAAGAGGAACTAAGTTCCATGTACCATTGTGCTCAAGAGCCTACATTTCATCAATCATGGCTTGTCGTCATCCAGGACGATCAAGTGCCTCTTTCACATTTTTATGAATAATAATAGTGGATACAGAAGAAACAAAAGAAAAATAGGAAGGAGACAATCTATGATAGCTAAGAAAATTGTAAATGGGATGTGGATTACGAGTAGAGCGAGTATCTTTGCGAATGACAATGAGCCAACTTGAGTCATCATTATCAGGAATCGTGGTATTAGGTGATGATTGAGAAGGATATGCTGAGGAAGACTTATCTTGGGGCATGAGACTAATCATTTGGCTCCTGGGTTGATAGGTAATAAGAGGCAGTGATGAGGATTCCAGTGTATTTTGTGTGGAATTTTGGGTGTCAGGAGGAGGAGGTACAAATGACTCCACTAAGGGTATAGGTAGGACATTTTGGACCGAACTAATATCCTGCATAGAAGAAGGGAAGAAGGAAGTTGATTCAAAAAAAGTGACATTAGCAGACATGTAGTACCTCTTGGTTTCAGGAGAATAACATCGATATCCTTTTTGAAGACGAGAATATCCCAAGAAGACACATTTTATGGCTCTAGCTGATAGTTTATCTAAACCTGGAAACATATCATGAACAAAACATACGCAACCAAATACATGAGGAGAAACATGAAAGAGTGGCTCCTTTGGCAATAGAATGGAGTGTGGAACTTTATTGTCAAGAGAAGAACATGACATTCTGTTAATGAGAAAACATGCAGTAAGAATAACATCTCCCCAATGATGAACAAACATATTTGCACCAAGTAATAAGGTACGAGCAGTTTCAACAAAATATCTATTTTTTCGTTCTACTATACCATTTTGTTGTGGTGTGTGAGGACAAGTAGACTGGTGTAAAATACCTTCAGAACTTAAGAGAGTGGAGAAATCAGTATAAAAGTATTCTTTGGTATTATCACTTTGTAAAACTTTGATTACTTTTCCAAATTAATTTTTGATTTTGTTAAGGAAAGACTTAAAGATAGGTAATAATTTAGAACGATTTTTCATTAGATAAATTCAAGTACACCTAGAAAACTCATCAATGAAGAAAACAAAATATCTATAGCCAAAGGATGAGATACGACTAGGACCCCAAATATTAAAATGAACAAGAGAAAAGACAGAGTCACATCTAGATTCAGAAGTTTAGGAAAAGAGGACCTAGTATGTTTCCCTAGTTGACATGATTCACATTCAAAATCTTGAAGAGTATGAAGTTTAGGAACCATTTTTTTTAATCTTGACAAGTGAGAGTGCCCTAAACGTTCGCGTAATAGTTTTGGAGATAAGGATGCAACACATGATATAGATGATTTAGTCCCAAGGTAGTATAAGCCTCCAGATTCATGTCCTTCGCCAATCTGTCGACCCGTACCACGTTCCTGTATAACAAAAGAGTTGGCATTAAATGTTATTGAACAATTCAATAATTTGGTTAATTGACTTAGGGAAATGAGACTGAAGGGACATGAAGGAACAAGAAGAACAAATTTTAAGTTTAAAGACGGAGAAATGGAGACTTGACCAGTTCCTTTAGAGGCTACTTTAGATCCATTGACTAAGGTTATGAGATTAGGAGTTTTAGGAAATAAGAGAGAAGAGAACAAAGAGGTATTACCAGACATGTGATCAGAAGCACCTGAGTCAATAATCCATGGATTTTGACTTTCCACAAATTGTGAAATGAAAGTTGTTCATGAATTTGGGGTTGTTGATGATTGTGCTAGACTACTGGATTTCAACCTCAAATATTCCTGATATTCTTCGTGAGAGAACTTGGGTTCAACCATTTCAGATTTGGAAATATTGACAGTCTTGTCAGGAAAATTGTGCAAAGAGTAGCAATTTTCCAGGGTATGACCCATTCTCTTGCAATGAGTGCACTGAGGACGTCCTCTATCTCCACGTCCTCCTCTAGTGTTGCGACTTCCTCTTCCACGAGTAGAAATCATAGCAGAAGATTCAAAAAGTTCTTGATTATTGTTTCCTTTGAGAGTTGGAACATGAAGCAGTCTTGTAGTCAAATTTTCCATAAGAGGAACTTTTTGTCCAATTAAAATTTGATCTCTAACATGATCGAATTCTGAATTCATAGTCAGAGAGTCATAACCATATAGAATTTATCCAACTTTTGCTTTATCTCCTTTAACGAATCCACCTCTAGGAACATCTTTAATTCTTCAACTGTTGATTGAGCTTCAGCAATAAAGGTCATCATATCTTTATCCACTTGCTTGAGAGAGGCTA